GGGATTAAAATGTCCAAAAACCTCACTCTTCCTGCCGCAGCTTTGCTCACAGGAGCCAGAAGAGGGATGGCACACTGCTGTACTACAGTGGATGAAGATCTGGGAACCAAATGTGTCCGTTACAAGTCTAAAAGTGGTAAATCATACCATTTCCTGCAGAGGAGCCAGTGATGCTGGATCCACAAACGTGAATATCTTCACAATAAAGCGCTTGTAGTGGGTTGGGAACTGAAGATCAGATGATCCAGTCACTGGAACCAATGTGGTCAAGTAACGGTCATCCTGGTAAGGGCATCTGAAAGCATAAAGGAGGTTAGAAAATCCCCAGACTAGCAGGATAAACATTGCCATTACACTCACCCATCAACCAGAAGGTCCCACTGGGGTAGACTGAGTGGGATAATCCGCATCACTGTAGTAGGACATGTAGGCCTCATCCCCCGAGGAACAACACTGGTGATTAACCAGAAATGGCTGCAATCTGGAGTCTTGAGATACTAGGAACACACGGAACAAGAACATACCTTCTTTCGCGTTAGGGTCCGGGCAGAACTATTGTTCCAGCCACCAAAGACAGATTCACAAATAACCTGCCTGATTTATCTCAACTGCTCTGTGTACCCATAAGTACACATGAACTAGATGAAATGACTAGCAACATGGGCACTATCTTCTCTAATACATTAGAAGCCGTTGCCCCCATCAAATTGAAAAAGGTTAGAGAAAAACGTACTGCGCCATGGTACAACAGTAATACCCATTCTCTCAAGAAAAAAACTCGTAGTCTTGAGCGCAAATGGAGAAAAACTAACTTGGAAGTTTTTAGAATTGTGTGGAAAAACAGTATGTCCAGCTATAGACAGGCTCTAAAAGCTGCCAGGGCCGAGCATATCCACAAACTCAAAAAAAATAACCAAAACAATCCTAGGTTTTTATTTAGCACAGTGGCTAGATTAACAAATAACCAGACGCCACCCGATCCAAATATTCCCTCACAGTTTAATAGTAATGACTTTATGAATTTATTCACTGATAAAATAGATAACATCAGAAATACAATAACAAATGTAGATTCTACAGCGTATAATACTTTAGCTTCATTCATCGCACCAAAAGATAAACTGCAGTGCTTTACAGCTATAGGACAGGAAGAGCTAAATAAACTTATAACTGCATCTAAACCAACAACATGCCTGTTAGATCCTGTACCCACTAAATTACTGAAAGAGTTGTTACCTGTAGCAGAAGAACCGCTTCTCAATATTATTAACTCGTCGTTGTCTTTAGGTCACGTCCCAAAAACATTCAAACTGGCGGTCATTAAGCCTCTTATTAAGAAACCAAGGTAACACTGCAAGTCGAGCACCTGGTTTCTGAACCCAGCAAAGGGGTGCCTACCTTAGAGAGGAAAGAAACACATGGAAGGTCCCGGAAAACACTGCAAAGAAATCTCACAGAAGGATTAGCCACATAACCACCAGCACATTAAATACATATATATACATATGTACTGTATATATATAGAATGGATCATACTTAACCACCATGGTTCCCGCGCCGGAACCCCATTAAAGAGGCAATTCCAGAGAAGCCTCTAGTCCGGACCATCAGTAAGGTGGTTGCTATGAAGTCATAGAACCAACCAAAATATCATAGGTCCAGCATAGGAGACTGCAATGCAGGAAGTTCTTACCTAACCTCGGTCAGGTGGATTGCTGGTGGTTATAGGGGAATTAGAAATGAGTAGATACTCAAGTATCACTCTGATCTGGACGAAAGCACTGACGCCTTGTCTGGATCACATCCCTTAGGTCTTGCCTACCTCCCTTTGACCCGAGATTCCTCCTACCCCTACCCGCAGGCGTAGCCTTCTGTACCCATCTCTGATCCTCAGACCGAGACGGACCAGGACCCCCATGTTGTTCGGGCTCAGACCTGGACCTTCGTGGAATGAAGGATTTAAAGGCCATTGAGCACGCCTTTGCCTCCCTGAACTTCTCGACCACTGTCTCAACGGAGGTACTGAAAAGTTAAGAAGGCGAAACCAGAGCATCGAGAAGAAAGCCCCTCTCTTTCTTCCCGATATCTGCCAGGTTCACCCACAGATGTCTCTCCGTTACTACCATAGCCGCCATAGACCTGCCCATAGCGGAGGCGGCCTGCTTAGTAGCACGGAGAGCAAGATCTGTGGTGCGGCGCAGCTCAGCAACCTGATCAGAAGAAAGGCCCTCGCCTTTATCCAGGTCTTTCAGCAGATCAGCCTGATACGCCTGGAGCACCGCCATAGTGTGCAACAAAGACACAGCCTGACCTGCTGCTGCGTATGCCCTGCCATTTAAGCGTGATGTATTCTGAAGGGGCTTAGATGGCAAGGAGGGAGTATTAAGAGAGGATGTCTCGCCCATAGAGAGATAGCTAGCCAGCGTCTCTTCTACAGGGGACATCCTCTCATAGCCGTTTTCACGCATCGCCTCGATGTTGGCATAACTTGTATGCTGGAACCAATAGATGCGTGAGGAATCTTCGGCCTCTTCCATTCTTTCTCGATATCAGTATGCAAATCAGGAAGAAATGGAAGGCTCACCTGAGCTGGAGGGTTGTGGTCAGAAAGATAACGCTCATCGAGACGACCCCGCTGCGTCACCTTCTTGGCCCGCTTCAACGGCAAGTCCAGCCTCGCCATAGCGCGATCCATAACCTCCAACAGCTCATCATACGCAGGACAGGAGGATTGGGAAGGCTCAGCCTCAGCCTCTTCACCATCCACAGACATCTCCTGCTTCTCCTGGGCTGAATCCAGCAGAGCACTGGCCCCCGGATCAGACGATGTTAGAGAGATAACATCATCCTCCAGTGGCTCTCTCTCTCGTCCGCAGCCGACGAGCGCGAGAGGGAAAGCCCCTCTTTAAACTCATCGGCCAGGTCCACCTGCGATCCCCACAAGCTCATTCTCCTCCGTGCCTCAGCAGCGGCGGGTCCTGAACTGCGGGAAGCAGATGGCTGCCCCACAAACGAGAGCAGAGCTTTTTCATTGAAAAACGCTCACAATGCACGGATATTGCCCCCTCAAGGACATCGCGTGCATGCTCCTCACCCAAACAAACAACGCAGAGATTGTGTGTGTCAAGTGTCAAATAACGACGACCTCTAAAAAGCTGCCCACTGTGCCGGGTGTGTTCTCACAGTGTGTGGGTGTTCACGGCTGTGTGTGCACTTTGGATGGGTAAATGCAGAGCACTAATTCCGAGTATGGGTCACCTTACTTGGCCACATGTCACGTCACATTCAAATGCACGCTTCAAACAAAACAGTCAGTGAAGACGAAGAGAATGACATGTTCTCCCGGCGCCCATTTATACTATAGTTGCACCAGTAGTGACGTCATGGGCTGTCGCCGGCCAACGTGTTGTTTTTCAATGTATGCTTCAGACACGGGTCATGACAAGGTGTTCCCCATAGCGACCCCAAGAGGATGCAGTTCAAAGTTCCCTTGAAAGGGAACGGACTAAATTTCTAGTTGTAATGCATTAGATGGTGACATTTTTAGAATTAATACTAGTTTTAAGAAATCGGTTTAAGCTATATACACACACACAAATATTTTGATTAAGCTTTACAAAGCTCATTTGCCTTATTTATGCCGATTCAAAGATTTGACAGTTGACTTCAGGAAAGAAAAAAAAAAAAAAAAAGCAAGCTTCCAACCATTAGCTCAACTTGGCCATGTTTTTGTATGATTAGATACAGTGGCAGGTTTTGACCTTACATTATGAACACTCATTTCCAAACACCAGCACAAATGAGTTTACGTTGTCTCTGGGATGTAACTCCAGAACACTGTTGCAGTGTACATGTTCACTACAGTTTTGAATGTTTAAGTCCAGAGAGAGACACACACACACACACACAGGTTGCTACACTAGTTCCAAGTTAAGAGTTTTTTTTAAAAAGAAAAATCAGACCAGTTTACCAGCAACCTTGGTGTAGCTAGTAACTTCTACAACTCCGCTGAGGGTGGGAAACTTACACTAGCCGCAAAGACACATAGTAACTGGACCTTTGTATCAACTTCCATAAACCAAACAAGAAAGGCAAAATGGAAGCCTGAAACTTCTTCAAAAAAAAAAAAAAAAAAAAAAAACTCAGAAACCAAGTCGTTGTAGGATTGGTTTACTGGGAAAAGCATACTTTAAAATAAACTCATGTAGTAGCTAAATAACAAACTAAATGAGAACTCCATAGTGAAGTGAGCCCAAACAACCTCTGGACAGTAACAGATTCAGGGTTTAATCAAGTTTATTAAAACAGCCATCTTAATACAGGATTACATGACCAAAGTAACTTCTCCACTGGAAACTATGGTGTCCCTGCTAGAGATAGTCTTCATGTGAACATCCCTTCCTGCAAAAAGAAGGTTGAAGAGAAACAGCATACCAAAATGACAAGGAATAAAACTGAAGGTTAAGATTAAGCGCTCACTTTTCCTGCTGCAACTCTGCTCACAGGATCCAAGAGATGAGGGGTGGCACGCAGCTGTACTACAGTGGATGAAGATCTGACAAGCAAAGGGTTTAACCATGGCATACATTAAGACAAGTAATTAAGGTCTCAGGCATGTAATTGAAGGTTGCGTGACAATTATACAGTTTCCTGCAGAGGGGCCAGTGATGCCGGATCTACAAATGTGAACATCTTCACAATAAAAGGCAAGGCAAGTTTTTGTATAGCACATTTCATACACAATGGTAATTCAAAGTGCTTTACATAAAATAAAAACAATAAAACAAAGGAATTTAAAAACTTTGAAAATTAAAAAAAAAAAAAATTTAAGAGGTTTAAAATGAATTTAAGAAAACGATTATACACATAATATAGTGCAATCAGTTCGGACATAGCACAGTGCTCATTCAATAAATGCACAGCTAAACAGATGAGTTTTGAGTCTGCATTTAAATGTGACTAATGTTTTAGCACATCTGATCTCTTCTGGAAGCTGATTCCAACTGCGGGTGGCATAATAACTAAAAGCACATTCCCCTTGTTTTGTGAACCCTTGGCATTTCTAACTGACTCGATCCTAATGATCTGAGTGGTCTGTTAGGTTTATATTCAGTGAGCATATCTGCTATATATTTAGGTCCTAGGCCATTGAGTGATTTATAAACGAGTAAAAGTACTTTAAAATCAATCCTAAATATAACTGGAAGCCAGTGTAAGGACCTGAGGACTGGTGTAATATGCTCAGATTTTCTGGTTCTAGTCAGAATTCTGGCAGCAGCGTTCTGGATGAGCTGCAGCTGTCTAATGGTCTTCTTGGGAAGGCCGGTGAGGAGACCATTACAATAGTCCACCCTGCTGGGGATAAAGGCATGAACAAGTTTCTCCAAGTCTTGACTGGAAACAAAACATCTAATTCTTGCAATGTTTTTGAGATGATAGTATGCGGATTTAGTTACAGCTTTGACATGACTACTGAAACTAAGGTCTGTCTCCAGAATCACACCAAGATTCCTGACTTGATTTTTAGTTGTTAGACCCCTAGAGTCAAGGTATGCATTCACCTTGAGAACTTAATCTTTGTTTCCAAATGCAATGCCTTCGGTTTTTTCTTTGTTTAACTGAAGAAAGTTCTCGCACATCCAACTGTTAATTTCATCAATGCATTGGCAGAGGGAGTCAATGGGGCTGAATATAAAGAATATCTCTTTGGATTTGAGGCTTTAGTCTTTGCAACTTTACAGATCTTCAAAACAGAAGTTACATTTAAGACCTTTTTAATACCACCTTATATGAAATTTAAGACCTAAACCTGTAATGGAAATACACATTTTATTACATACATATATGTAATATTTAATGTGTATAAATTAAAAAGAAAACAAAATATCATTGCTTTTTTATTTTATCATTATATTTATTACTACGATATACAGTGAACTTTTCATATCAGCAGACAATATTCCATACAAAATATCCCCGCAAAATAACTGCATCAC